GAATGGGAATTCGTTGATCACTACACTACATGTGTGTGTTTATGGGTTCATTTGACTTGACTTGACTTGACTTGACATTGTTTCCACCTTTCTTTTTCAGACTACGCAGACTGTTGTTGCCGGTATCTTTCAGTCCACTAATGGAAGGATGTGCACATCGGATGGCCCGATCCCTTGCGACGACCTTGTGTATTCCGACTACGATACCAGTATATTTTCAGGTACTTCTTGCCTTTTCAAACGTCTATACTCACAAGGCTGTACATCAAAAATAGTACGGCGAAGCAACACAATTGAATATCCTCGAAATCTTCAATCGGTCTGTTCAAATGGTCGTTATTTGTATCTGCTGGGTGAAAATACCTTATCTATAATGAAGAAGGATTCCGTTGCATATCACGATTTGGGTTCCCACAGTGTGAAAGACATTGCTTGTTCCGACAAGTATGCTTATTGTATTACTGGTAGGCTTGTGCGTCCCTACCGACTGTTCTGTTTATCACTCATTCGAAAGAGGATAATTTGTGCTACCAGTTGATAGGAGACAGAGATTACTCATTCCTACTGAAACTTATTCCGGAAATCTCTTCTATTAAAATTAAATCCATTACTTGCGGAGCCGATTTTGTAATGTGTCTATCAATGATTGGACAAATATTCTGTCAAGGAATCGGAAGGTAACCAAAGAATTTTTCAGTTTTCAACTTATTCCAGTCGTGGACAGTTGGGCCTAGGAGACCTCGAAGATCGTACCCAATTCACATTCTTGGAAGCCCTTGGTCCTGTCACTGTAATACGCATTTCCGCCGGGAAGTGGCACGCAGCTTGTGTCACTGGTATGTGGCATTTATTTTCTTAAGATTTCTTCCAGATACCGGTGATCTGTACACATGGGGATGGAATGAGTATGGTCAACTTGGCCACCTTTCACTAAAGTTACATAAAAAACACGACATGGATTTGACTGACTGTATGTCCGTGGTATGCGTTCCCAAAGCCGTGGATCTTCCGCATGAAGAAGGTGTCATGGAAGTGAGTTCTTCCCCGCTGAATAACTCATCCGTCAGCTTACATAACCTTAAATGTCTGCGTCAGAATACTAATAAACAAGCGGGGAACACTTAAGCACTACTACTGTTGCTGATTTCCTGATCCTGCCCACAAGACTTCCCAGCCAGTGTAAAGTGGTGGTTTCAAGTTTACGAAATAACATTGCTTTTCTGTAAGTAATCAGTAAAGCTAGGGTGTACTGGACAGCCGTTTCTACCTGGTTTGGTCTCGTTCACAGGCCGAATCCATCGACCTAACTGGGGATCTAACCGGGGACCACACACGTGCAGCGCAAGCATTCTGCTCAGTCGACCACCGGGCACGACCTATAGGATCCTTATGCGGTTCACCACTCCAAATCCTGGCGTTTAGGTTGCAATTTCCCTTGACTGAACAGCAGGTCTTCGTGGCTGTGGAGTTTTCTCCATCTGCTGGCTCTCGTGCATCTACTCATTATTCTTGCAGCCTCAGTCCGTATGAATTCTCCATCTTCTCTGACTCCCCTCAACATCCCACTGTGTTATCTTCTCTTTTATACAAATAGGTAATCATGAGACAGCAACCAAAACAGGCGCATGAAAGTGCTTGGTTAATGGTTGTAAAAACAGCTGTTCATTGATTATTTTTAGATAAAACGAACGATGACTTAAAGCTGACCAGATCCCTGTATATTTGTCACCGACTTGCAACTCAATAAAAGCAGAAAACTGGGAGGTGGGATACAAAGCAGTATAAACAGGGGAGCGGATGCTTTAGGGAAGTTTATTTTATTACATGAGTATGGATTACATTAGAGGGGATAAACAATTGGAGGATTTACTCTTGTCGAATTACCTATTTTCCGTAGGGAGAGTGATGCGGAACAATCATGTCAAAAGTAGTTCAGTATTTCTGTTATTGAAAACCTAAAATTCTGTTTGAAACGGAAGATTTAGTGAAAGAAGGCGTTTTATAGCTGATAAAGGAATGAGCTTAGTTCTGAAACTCAGCAATTTAAGAAAATCACATTTTAAGAATGACTGCAGTTCTGCAAACTAGTGTATTTAAGCCCTGTATAGTTGTAAGAGTTGGGGAGCTGGTAAAAAACGTTTAACATGAAAGAACAAACCAAACTTCTCCGATCCAGGCAGCGAGGGTTACATGCAAAGACTAGCCGTATAGACGAAGAAAAACTAAGCCCAGCAAAATCACGGGAAGTTAAGGAACTATGAAATGAATTTCCGAAACCCAGGATAGGGTAAAAGCCATTATGTCTAAGGGAAATAGACAAAAGCAGTTAGATACACGGTAGATTGCAATTCGGTCGCTATCGGAGTTCCTTGATGTGCACATGTGTGGTCGATCACGGGAAGTAGTGTTCGGTAGAATCCAGGAAGATGAATAGGACAAAGAACAGGGAAGATTGGCGTCATTGCCGAATGGATAATTGAGGAACACCGCAGGACACATGGTGACTACCTGAGATAATCTGGTAATCCCAGATACAGTGGTCACCGAAGAAACTTCCGATCCACCAGATGAGTTCCAAAGGTAAACAAACGTAGGCTCCTTCACCAGTCAAAGGCGCTCGA